CTACACCAAATGTAAATTTGGATGAATAATACAACTACGAATAACAGTCAGGAAGGCTTATTTAAATATCAATTTTGAGGATTCGTCAACATAAAATACTTACAGTGATATTTTTAAACACACCATTAACAAAATATAATTTGTAACTAAACACATAGCAGAGATGGGTTTTTATAACATGTGTTTGGGTGAAATAAAATATAACTCTCCATAACAAATAAGTGCATTGTCAATAGATGTTTTATGATTGTATATTAGTTTATCTAGCAATGTTCTAGTATAGCTACCAATTCAACGTTGTTCAATGTTCAGTGGAAGTGCACTTCATGATGTAATCTACATAATAATTGGAGTGGCCTACACTCTACAGCTCAGCCTGTGCTGATTATTGCCCAATAATTAGTCTATGGTGCTCTAATTCAGTGAAGGGGTTGTTTGAATTTGTCTGCTTTACAATTTCAAAGTTTCCTGCGTATATTGATGATATATTTATTACGAAGAGAATTTTATGGAATACCTTATTAGTGCATATTTTTTTCATTTCTCTTTGCTTGCTTATAGCTATTTCATTCAAGCAGCAATTTCACTTGAAATCCAAGAATAGGTTACCTCTAATCATTTCTTAGCTGATTTCTATATGAAATGTAAGCATTGTCTAGTGTCTAAATATTTTGAGTTTTCATAAAGTAATTAATCATTCAGTGGGCTAGTGTGGATTTTTATCTGATATTCCTTCAATTATTGAACCCAAGCGGAATGATAAGAGTGAGTCAATAATCGCAAATGAAAATTTCCAAAGAAAGGAGTTATAAAATGATTATTTACCTGTAGGTATTTCGCTATTATGGTACAATTACTCAGTTTACTAATCCCTTTAATCAGTAAACTATCTGATTAGACGAATTTTTTCTCCAATTGTATCATTGCCAAAACACAAAGTCGCGTGGTATACAATAGGGGTTGTTTGTGGATATGTGACGCACTAAATTTCAACTTTAATTATGATGTGAAATATTTTATCTTTAATTTTTAAGCAAAGTGTTTTTGTGCCTTTAGCTTAAGGTTTAGTTTGAACTATAAAACGTTGCTCGGACAAAAGGTACCCTCAACACGTCTCCTTTTCATCTAATTAGATTACTCGTAATTTTATAGAAAATGTAAAAGTATACAAAAATGAAACATCAAAGATTAATTATACTCCTTGTACAGTTATCATCTTTATGGATCAGTTAAGTCAATTTTTAATGTTGGTTCCGTTCGGTTTGTGCATGAAGAGTACTTTTTTTATATTTTGTTTATTGTTATTCATCCAATAAAAACTCGAAGTATTGCTTACCTATAGGTAAATAGTAAAGGAAAAATTGTAAAATTCATCCTAAATAAAATGTATTAATAATAATGTAATAATTAACTTACACTAGCGTACTAAAAATACTTTTCAATTGAATAATGAGTCTACTTGCACTTTTCAAAGTTGGCAACATCTATTCTGAATCTAACACTGTTACTTTTAAACTTGTGGTTAACCAAGGAAAAGTAATGCTACTCTCATGAGAAATCACATATGTTATTTGGTCCGCCTCCAGCCCTTGGCCTATAGAGATGGCCTTACCGCCTGCTTATAATATTGAAGACCAAGGAAAAACTAGTTGAATAAAAGTGGTCAAACTGCAAAGAGAATACATTCCCTATTTTATAATGTTACGATGCAATATTAGATGGAGCGTGTGATTAATTTTAGTTTAAACTCCCAGAATAATTATCCCTATTTGTGGTAAATTGTATTTCATCATTAGAGCCTAAATTGGACCCTTTTGACACGATGTTAAGTTCAATGACTGTGATGGGACTAGGGTGGAATTGTATGTTAGCGGAGTAATATGTGTTTCTTTTAAATTCAAGCGACGTCATATGCAATAGCCATAATAGTAAAACAACACAATTTTACGCCACACTACACTATTTTGACGAACTTCCATGGGGGCGCCAGCTTAATCAAATGGGGTTTCATTGCGTACTACAATAGTCAAAGGTACTACTGTACTGTAATGAGTTTTATGGTTTTACTGGACACCAATCCACTACACTGTATAAACTACCACTACTACACTGCACTGTATGTGGATTATACTGTATTTGGGTGGCAATGTGTGGTTATAACAAAAACATCACCTCTCTTAGACTAGACTAGTGATTTTTAGTCCTTTATTTGCTGGTAATAATATATAAAGATTTGAACACGGATTTAGTACGGATTTAGTAGTATAGCGTAAACTATCGTACGTCACTCGTCCAAAATGTGTTTACCGGATTCGTATGGTAACTCGACTTCGTCTCGCACGGGAACGACCACGTTCGTCCGGTAAACACATATTTTCCGGACTAGTAACGTAATATACTATTGTGAGCCAACTTTTAAAGGTGAACAATGCACGAAATCATTGTATTGTGATTTATTTATCTTAAATAATTGTGTAGTAAAGACGAAAAATATTGTTCATCGCACGAGCAAGAAATCTTGGCGACCCTCAATCATTTTTTAGCCAGACTTCACCTCGAAAACTTATGTTAAAAAAAAATCAAATGAACTTTTTCGATATGCTGTAATTTTCTTCCAAGCATATTTGATATAATTATAATTGTAGAAAACACATTTATAGGTTATATTAGCAGTTGAAATATTTTAGATCTTATTAATTCTACGATTACGAATGCAAACAATTAACTAAAATCTTTGTTTTGTGATTGATAGACCATAAATTGTGATTCACAGCTCTGTGATTGATGATTATAATTAGTTCCAATGCAGGTGGCATAGTTATTAACTGTTTAATTAACTAGATTAAAACAATCCACATCAGTTGTACTTCCATACAAGTATATTATCATTCATGTTTTAATAATTACTTTAATTATAAAACCTATTATCATCGAGTTTAAATTGATGCCGTTCGTATAAGGATTGGGAATGTATGAGTACAACATTCCAATAAACGTGTCAATATTTTATCAGAATCATCTCACAACACCAATTTTGTGATAGTTAGTATGGTTTGCAGATAACGTATATTTGATCTGAATGAGTGATAATAATAATTTAGATTTTTAGTCTTATTACGCATCCATATGAAATTCATTTAAATTTTAATGTTAAAAATGTATAGTATATAAGAGGTTTCTGTTACATAACCACATATATACTTGTAACCAATGATAATGTATGATTGTTTAATGGTGAATAACCTGATTCCATGTGATGATATTTTCTCCTACAAATCAGGCGACAGGTGACTCGAAACCAACCAATTCGACGATCTGAAGTTGCTAAGAGATTTCAGTTAGGGTAGGTTTAAAATTGTCCCTAATCTCATAACCATATGCCACAAATCATCTGTTGAAATCGTCCTAACCAATTGTGAACCAATGAACTAATGTGGACGAATTGTAATGTGGTAGCTACGATCCATCTCACTTTACATTTTTTGAGAATTAATATCGATTAGGTTTCAAATATTGTCAATTGCGAATACAGTAATGTTCATGGTGATTTCAAATTATGACTCTATATCTATATGCAGCCATATCTAAATGCACCTCATGTCTTCTAAGGAGAATAATAGAATAATTATCTGTGTTGAACACTATTTCTCGCTCAACAACAACCGCTTCCCAATAAGTATATCTGATTATTAAGGCAGCATTGGACGTTCTCGCAAAATTAATACAAATGTACTTTTAATTCACTCTTGATGATCAACATCATATTTTTACATGATGAATCTACACGTGAAGACTTTGTATCCACTCTGAAGTGTTGGGGAGCGAGCTGGTATAGTGAGTAGAGAGCTGTATTTCCATCCTGAGGTCCCGAGTTCAAATTCTGCCAATCGCCAATATCTAAAAGATAATGCCACGACCCTCTAGGGTTAGCTTGAAGTAATGTGTAAACGAATCCGGTCTAGAGCATTGTGTCCCAGGATGTGATGGCAGAGGAATAATTCAATGGTACACTTAAGTGGTGTCTATCAATATTGCTAGTGTCCAAGTCAAATGAACCTTTGCCCCCCTCACCATCATGTGCTACAAAGAACACACTCACGGTGGAGGAAGACCTGTACCCTGACCGTTAGGAATTACTGTACAGTGCTCGTTGTTTGGGCATTTACTCACTGGTCACAAGTATATTTCCCACACAATATACCAAAGCTGAAAGCGTGCCTCTGTATCTTACTTCTCTGAAGGGGAGGATAATTGTTTATGTTAACGGTGGTGACGTCAGTTGCAGGAGAGTGCGCATGGCTGCATTGGTGGTGGTGGCGCTGACTAGGGTGGCCGCTTACTACCACCAGAGTTCCCCCGACTCTGCAGCAAGTAGCGGGTGTCCCGGGACCTTACCAGGAAACCGCCTCTTATCTGCTTGTATCTTATGTGTTGATGGTAGTGACGACAGTTGCAGGAGAGCGCGCATGGCTGCACTACAAGCCGTGGTGGTGGCGGTGGCGCTGACTGGGGTGGCCGCGTACTACGACCAGAGCTGCCCGTCGCTGCAGCAAGTGGCGGGTGTCCCGGGACCTTACCAGGAAACCACTTCTTATCTGCATGTATCTAATGTCTCCTGTGTTGATGGTAGTGACGTCAGTTGCAGGAGAGCGCGCATGGCTGCACTACAAGCCGTGGTGGTGGCGGTGGCGCTGACTGGGGTGGCCGCGTACTACGACCAGAGCTGCCCGTCGCTGCAGCAAGTGGCGGGTGTCCCGGGACCTTACCAGGAAACCACTTCTTATCTGCATGTATCTAATGTCTCCTGTGTTGATGGTAGTGACGTCAGTTGCAGGAGAGCGCGCATGGCTGCACTACAAGCCGTGGTGGTGGCGGTGGCGCTGACTGGGGTGGCCGCGTACTACGACCAGAGCTGCCCGTCGCTGCAGCAAGTGGCGGGTGTCCCGGGACCTTACCAGGAAACCACTTCTTATCTGCATGTATCTAATGTCTCCTGTGTTGATGGTAGTGACGTCAGTTGCAGGAGAGCGCGCATGGCTGCACTACAAGCCGTGGTGGTGGCGGTGGCGCTGACTGGGGTGGCCGCGTACTACGACCAGAGCTCCCCTACTCTGCAGCAGGTAGCGAGTGTCCCGGCGCCTGACCCGGAGACCGCCTCTTATCTTCTACCACGCCTCGCTCACAAGTATCGTCCCCCCACGGGTGACTGGCTTGACGTCTCAGACCCTAGGCTATATCTGCTCACTGAGAACGAGAACGATGAGGCACAGGTAAATTATGGGTGTTTTAGACATATACATTTTAAGTATTTGTGTCAAGGAACGGTCCCCAAACACTAGACTTTGAATTAGACAGTTACACTTTGTTAGAAAACATAAATTGATTAGGTCGACCCCACATAAGAATGTACGATTAAGATTATGAATGGTAATTTGTATGTGTTGATTACATTGTAGAAAATTAAAAAAATCAATGAAATAGATTGAATAGCCTGGCTAACACTTGTTTTATTGTACATAAAATGGTTTAAATGTGTATTAGAGTGATTTGAATATTTGGCTATAGTGTTGCATACAGCCGTGAAAAATGAAGCTGTCACGAATAGGATATTTCTGTAAAGCTCTAAAACCTTGAATCTTGGTTAGCTATTTGCGGGTTGATAATGTGGATGAACGATCTAATAAATGCACAGGTTAAGGGAAGTCAGATTGGTTGAAGAGTTCATCTCAGTAACATCTTCCAATGTATTAGCTCAATGACAATTAGGAGTCTTCTACGATACGAAACAGCTAATAAACTTGATAAACTTCAAAATTTAAGCAGTATATCTACTACTATCAGAGCTATCAACACGATGTGTGTTCACAGCAGGAAGGCGCTCGACGACTGAAGCGGACGGGATTGGGCGGAGGCCCGTCACTGTCCATAGTCAACCCTCTGGATGTCCTGCGGCAGAGACTCCTGCTGGAGATAGCTCGGCGTCGCATGCGACAGTCTGAGGAGAAGATCCAGGCCAACCGTGAGTGGCTCAAGTCCATTGGCAAACGATCAATCAGTCAGGAGGATGCTGTCAACAAGTGAGTTCCAACGACATACGACACATTTATGTTGTCCAAAAGCAAAGTAACATGATTCACAAAGTAAATTGTGCAAAAAAATACTTTGGCACATTTACATTTAAAAGATCCTTTGTGTTTACCAAGCCGTTTTTCGATAGGTGAAAAATAGTAATCTACAAATGTTTAAATTTTATTGTACATGAAATGTTGAATACATACTACTGGTCTTATCTTACCATTTACACGTTCCATTTTATACGTGTTGCATTGACTTCAAATATATTTTGTAATTATTATTCAAGTAGAAAATCATCTCTTTCCCTAACAGACTGTCTTCTGGTTTGAATGTATTGTCATCTTTTCATACTGAGTACCATAGGTATCCTCGCCTCGATGGGACACCTCCTACCAGTACCTTCTTCATTTTGTTTTGTCCTTCCCTTCTCCTTCCACTCCTTTCTGGCCCTTCATCTGTCCTTCTTCTTCTTCTTCTTCTTCTTCTTCTTCCCCGTCTTATCATTATTATTCTTCTTTTTCGTCTTCTCCTTGTTCTCCATCTAATCTTCTTTCTCATTCTTCTCCCCTCTTCTTCACCTCATGTCTTTCTTTCTCCTTCTTCTCCTATTTCTCTTCCCTGTCCTTCTTTTTCATCTCCTACTCCTTCTACTTCTTTTTCTTTTTCTTTATCAGTTGTATCTAAATGTAATATATCTGTTTCCAGGCTGAGTGATGAAGTGTCCAGCGCACAGAAAGTGTCCGCGCCTCGCTGGACGAGCGCCTCGTAGACACATTCTACCCGTCAGTATCTTCTTCTTCTTCCTTGTCCTCAATTGTATATGGTTAATATACTTAATTCTGTTGTCCTGTTAACTGTCTCTTGTTTGCTTAGTAGTACGATGGCTAAATATTAATAAACAGGATCAGAGATTGGTTGTTGATCTTTTTCAATAATTAAATTTACTTTCCCAATAAAACCTGTTGTGCAATGCAAGTAGAGGTTATTGTTTTGATTTTATCCTCTTTTTAATTAATTAAACAATCTTTAACTTATGAGTTAACTAGTACATCTTCATGGATCGTACTTACAAATTGAACCTATTGAAAATAATTTAATAAATTGTAATAACATGTTTATGATTTAGTCTAACGTGTTGTTTGCCTTTAAAGAGCGCCGTTAGATTAAGAAAACAAACAAAAAACTAAGTATGATCGAAAGATTGTACGTTGAATATGTGGCAAATATAAATGGAACAAAATCATTCCATTAATAGTGTGGTACTGCTTCAATTCCATATAAAGTGTATCACGATTATTTAAGCAATATTTGCATCATAATTAAAACTTACTCGTTTAAAATGCTTGCCACTAAGACTGATAATTCGTATATATAATAGGTTACATAACTTGCCCTTCTTCAGTATAATGGGTAATTTCACCCGAAACTAGTATCCTAGGAATACTAATTAAGACTGAAAAAAGACAAGATACGTAACCTATTCAAACACATTTTGCTTGCGGGCCACAATCGTACTTCATCAAAAATGTACCGTACTTTACATAATTCTTGGAAGTCATCCTAAACCCAAAGAAATATAACTACTATTTTGTCAAAAAACATCTTTTTTGCATTGGAATTTTTAAAAACACTTCCAATTTTCCAATTGCATGTCTTCTTTTCCTCCCTGCTTTTTAACCCCAGTCCTACCTAAACAAAGAACCAATCTAGATAAAGGATTGAATCAGAGCCTCTTTGACTTCTCTGAACTAATTTAAAGTTTTGCAGTTATAATGGGTGTTGTCGTGGTCTTAACACGGCGATATTAGGTTCATTGTAATTTCAAAGCAGTTATTGTTAGCTCACAGTAGAAATCTCTATGCTATTAGTACATAATGTCAAGAAAATCACAGGAAAATGTCAATCGTTTAATTTAGTTATTGGTATTTTAAATGTTTTAAACTTTTCTTCCCACTTTTTCTACTTACAATAAGTGAAATAATTATTTTCAGGATATAGATTTTGCTATGCAATTATAAAGAAAACTTAAATTTGTTGTTATGTTATTAATTTTAAAAACACTATTTTAAAGTTTTAAATATTTTAAATATTAAAGTAAGGGTTTTTATTTATTTTGTCAGGTATATTTCTAAAATACATTTAGGATAACCGTTACGAACAGCGTTAACATTAGTTAATGTAAAAGTAATGTTCGGTTGTACGTTGTTAGACACTTATTTTCAATAATTACAAGTATTTTTTCATTTCAAAAATACGGTATCTAATTCATGCAATTCATTATTGCATTTTCAAATTGTATTTAGAATATGATTAGAAATAAAACTTACAACGAAATCTTAAAAAAAAAACAATTGTTTTTCTTTGTTTGAGTTGGTTAAATCTATGTTTACATATTTCCTAAAACTTTCTTATAGGTATTTTTCTGTTTGCAGGAGCAGACCATCCCCCAGCATTTGATACCTTTCTTTGTATCTGTAAATTAGCATCTATTGTAAGTAGTGTTAATGTACATTTATTGAGCAAATTATTTGTATTCATAGAGTAAGATTTAAACGAACGCTTCTTATCCAGTCCCGACTCTGGGTATTTTACATAGTTGTGCTAAAAGATATACTATAAATATATTTATTTTATAGGTTCCTTTATCAATGGACATATAATGATATTTTTATGTATTGCGTATTTTAGTTTATGTGATATTGTAAAAAGATTGTACCTGGAGAAATAAAAATGTTTGAAGTAAATTTCAAACAATTTGTTTTCGAATTTTTTACCCGATTTAACGTTCTTTAAAATGCAATAGCATAATCTTTCTATTATTGCTTGAGGATGCCTTAAGACCGCTTTTACTGTGCTAAAAAATATTAAATGCAGAAATTTGTGTGTTTAAAAACTTTTTTCACACAAAGTAATAACACGATTCCAACGTTTATTATAGAAACTAAACCGTCCCGTGTACAGTATACAACTGTCTTTGGTTGGATTCAGTTAAATAATATCAGGGTAAAATACATTAATTAAAAAACTCAATCCGACAAAAAATTGTATAACAAAATATTCACACTTATTTTTACTAACCTTTAGATTCATGTAAAAAATTGTCCATTGAATCGTTTCTTGTTAACGATCCAGTTTTCATGTTCATATCAATCCACTTCTAATTGCAAATTGAGGTCCTCAAAGCGTTGATCGTTGTTTTTACAGTTTTGATCAAAATAACAATTGGCTATCAAGGCATTATTGTTCATCAGCACAGTAACTATCCAGCGATGAAATGCATTGTTCATTTTAACTACCATGTGTATACGTAGAATCAGTTAAAAATCAGTTCCGCCCCAAAAATCTGTGTGCTTTGATGTTTTCGTTAATAAAGAACCCAATTGTATCAACTTGCATGTATGCAAATGTACTAAGATTTAATTACAAATTTTAATTTGTATGATTCTAAATCTGTCTAATTAGAACATCTGTACTAGGTGGCGTTCGCAGAGGCATCCACAAAATTGAGCGGAGTCATCAAGGGTTCATATTATATTGTTTTTGTCTTACTGCAGTAAAAACAGTATTTTTTCATGCATGCACTGCGGGTCTAAAGTAGCATTTTTAATATTTAGGGAGTAAAAATCGTTTTTAGCCTCTATGGAGTAAAAATCAGCTGTTGTCAACTCAGTTGTAAATTTCGATTGTAAACGATTGCATGTATCGAAAATATTATCGATTTGTGCTTCGTAATCATTTTAACATATTACAGTCTACAGTCTCTTCCCGTAGCATTTTAGCATTGCAGATACATTAATCCATTCCCAAACTCAACACTGCTCACCTTTACTACTTCCTTCACCACACCCTACGTCGTGGACCTGTTTCCCTCTCTTCCCATAGCATTTTAGGATTGCAGATACATTACTTTAATTGCCAAAGACAGTTCCCACACTCTGCGCTGTTAGCCTTACTACTTCCTTCACCATTTACTACGTCATTGGCCTGTTTCCTTCCTTTCTCATAGCATTTAAGTATTACAAATTCATTTATCCATCTGCTCAAACGGTTCCCCCACTCTGCACTGCCAGCCTTTACTACTTCCTTCACCACTTACGTCGTGGACCTGTATTCATCGCTTTCCATAGCATTTTAGTATTTTAGATACGTTAATCTAATTGCAACAAACATCCCCACTGCCCGTACTGCTAGACTTTACTACTTCTTTCACAATTTCCTATGTCTTGGGCATGCTTCCATCCCTTCTCATAGCATTTCAGCATTGCAGATGCATTAAAACTGCTACAAACGGTTTCCAGTTCCCAAACTCCACACTGCTCACCTTACTACTTCTTTCACCTGTTCCTACGTCGCGGATCTGTTTCCCTCTCTTCCCATAGCATTTTAAGATTGCAGATACCTGAATCTAATTGTCATAAACAGATCCCACACTCCGAACAGCTCGCCTTTACTACTTCCTTCGCCACTTCCCACATCGCGGACCTGTTTCCCTCCCTTTCCGTAGCATTTTAGGAATGTTGTGACCTTAATCTAATCGTCATAAACAGTTTCCATACTCCAGACTGTTCACCTTTACTACTTCCTTAACCTCTTCATACGTCACGAACCTCAAGCTAGTGTCGTCATTTGATTATAGTACCTGGGGACCGAGCTTTGCTCGGGGAAAATCATTAGTTCACTCTGAAAGCACCGTAGTATTGGAGATACATAAATCCACACATCTACATCCTACACAATATCCTACGTCATGGATCTGTTTCCCTCCATTCCATTGCATTTAAAGATTGCAGATACCTTAATCTAATCGTCATAAACAGTTCCCACACTCCGGACTACTCGCCTTGACTACTTCCTTCACCACTTCCTACGTCGCGGACCTGTTTTCCTCCCTTCCCATAGCATTTTAGGATTGCAAATACCTTAATCTAATCGTCATAAACAGTTCCCACACTCCGGACAGCTCACCTTGACTACTTCCTTCATCACTTCCTACGTTGCGGACCTGTTTTCCTCCCTTCCCGTAGCATTTTAGGTTTGCTGATACCATAATCTAATTGTCATAAACATTTCAAACACTCCGGACAACTCGCCTAGACTACTTCCTTCACCACTTCCTACGTCGCGGACCTATTTTCCTCCCTTTCCATAGCATTTTAGAATTGCAAATACCTTAATCTAATCGTCATAAACAGTCCCCACACTCCGGACAGCTCACCTTGACTACTTCCTTCATCACTTCCTACGTCGCGGACCTGTTTTCCTCCCTTCCCGTAGCATTTTAGGTTTGCTGATACCTTAATCTAATTGTCATAAACATTTCCAACACACCGGACAACTCGCCTAGACTACTTCCTTTACCACTTCCTACGTCGCGGACCTATTTTCCTCCCTTTCCATAGCATTTTAGGATTGCAAATACCTTAATCTAATCATCATAAACAGTTCCCACGCTCCAGACAGCTCGCCTTGACTACTTCCTTCACCACTTCTTACGTCACGGACCTGTTTCCCTCCCTTCCCATAGCATTTTAGGATTGCCCATACCCTTATCTAGTCGCCATAAACAGTTCCCTGACTCCTGACAGCTCGCCTTGACTACTTCCTTCATCACTTCCTACGTCGCGGACCTGTTTCCCTCCCTTCCTATTGCACTTAAAGATTGCAGATACCTTATTCTAATCGTCATAAACAGTTCCCGCACTCCGGACTACTCGCCTTGACTACTTCCTTCACCACTTCCTACGTCGCGGACCTGTTTTCCTCCCTTCCCATAGCATTTTAGGATTGCAGATACCCTAATCTTATCGTCATAAACAGTTCCCACACTCCGGACTGCTCGCATTTACTACTTCCTTCATCACTTCCTACGTCACGGACCTGTTTCCCTCTATTCCCATAGCATTTTATGATTGCCTATACTACTTCCTGCACTACTTCCTACGTCACGGACCTGTTTCCTTCCCTTCCCATAGCATTTTAGGATTGCAGATACCTTAATGTATTCGTCATAAACAGATCCTAGACTTCGCACTGCTACCCTTGACTACAATGTATCGAGTAATCTTAAGTATAATCTTTGCTCAATATTAACAAGTGATGTTTTTCCTTTTGTACTGTATTTGTAATTTCCTAGTATACTGTGGGTAGTTGGCTTATTACGAGCACATGCTAAAACTTCAAATCTTTTGTTTACTTTTTACTTGTTATTTAATTCAGCCAACATGGTTACCTAGCAACCCATAAGACTAATGTTAAAAAATGTGATTTTCAGTTTCATTTTTCTACGGATTCCTGAGAGACTTTTTTAACGCCATATAGATGTTGGCACTCACCGATATGGTCTTTATCACCATGCAAAATTTGAAAAACCATTGATTCAGCCGTCTAGGAGGAGTTTGCGTATTACGAAATGCATAAAAGTCGACGTATAAGAGCTTCGCTCGCTTCGCTCGCTCCGCTCAATTATAATTTAATGTTTATCTAATACAATGGAAATCTAAAAATTTTAGTTTGCGTCAGTGTGACTGATATTTTCAATACATTACTTTTAACTGCAAATTCTTCCAAGATTTATTTTTCTATTTTTTTACAGGTCCCTGATACCTTCAAACCTTCAATATCCTTAGAGAATTGTACTTTACCAAGATCATCTCAAAGTATATTCGCTCTCCAAATGTAAATTTAAATCATGACTATGGATATAAAAACTAAACCACTTCTTTTCAAAGTATATTAACATAACTTTGCAGCTTTGGGAGATTTGTGAGTAAGCCTCAAGCTCTTAAAATGTTCCCCAAAGAAACATTCGACTAATAGGAATATCCAAAGTTTGAAACTCAAGCAGTATTCTTTACACTGACTAATGCATATTTATGTGGACATTTGAAGCTAAATGTGCATATTTGTCTACATAACTCTAAGGTATGAAAACTACACTTGCACAGCAATATTGAATGCATTTTCAAAACGTGTACATGTTGGTTAAAGGACCAGTTCACCTTTGTAAAACTTTGATTTTAATCATTCAGATGTTAAAATAACAACTTACATCCAAATACGTTTTGTAAAAGATGTTTTAACCTCTACATGTGCAGCAAATAAGTGGCCCTTGTTGATTTGTTAGTAGTGTTTAAAATTTAACTTAGAATTTACAAAGTGGTTGCTAAAGTATTTTGAACTTTTATTTATCTCGTCGTGTTAATGGACCTGGTATTTGGTATTAATAATAAAATATCATTCCATAGTCTAGTAATTCTCTTTCAAGCTGGAATAGCATAGGTTTGCAATTTATTTAAAAGTCAGTGGTTTCAACAATATTTCTTGCAATAAAATACTGCATACATTAGTGATCCTGTTGAGCTAAACAAAGACTTCGTTTGCTTGGAAAAAGTTTGTTTTCCTACAGTTACCTAACAATGTACATGTTCTCTCACTGATTTGAGAAAGCAAAGGGCCAATTCGCTCATCAGTGAGACAATGTTAACATTGTCTCACTCTAATAACTTTGTCTCACTCCAGATTTGCAACGTGAAGGCACGAAATAGTGAGCGCGTAACATGCAGGCAACGTCGTATGCGCGCGAAATACGTTGGCAGTATTGGCTGTAAATCAGCTGGTCAGCTGTTGTACTGTTGTATTTGTCACTTCACGTTAAATGTTATATTAAAAGTTCACTTCTGTGTAAACATAGGTTATGTTTCTTCACCAATTTATTTGTTTTATGGTAACTGTAGGAA